TTAAGACTTGTGGACTTCAACTCCCAGAATTCCCGAGCTAACATGACCGAGAGGAGGAATTCTGGGAGTTGAAGTCCACAAGCCTTAAAGCGGTCAAGTTTGAAGACCCCTGGTCTAGCATGGGGGTCTTCAACGTCGGCCATTTTAAGACTTGTGGACTTCAACTCCCAGAATTCCTGAGCTAACCTGACTGGAGGAGGAATTCTGGGAGTTGAAGTCCACAAGTCTTAAAGCGGTCAAGTTTGAAGACCCCTGATCTAGCATGGGGGGGTCTTCAACATCGGCCATTTTAAGACTTGTGGACTTCAACTCCCAGAATTCCCGAGCTAACCTGACTGGAGGAGGAATTCTGGGAGTTGAAGTCCACGAGCCTTAAAGCGGTCAAGTTTGAAGACCCCAGTTCTTAGAACCACCTCTACTCTTGTCGTCCTGCAGCCATTCAACCCGGAAATCTGGCTCCATTTTGGCCCACCTTGTATTTCTCCTCCAGATAGAGAGCGCCATCACTGGAGACTTTCAAGAAGAGATTGGCCTGCCATTGGTCAGAGTAGGGTCTCCCGCTTGGGCAGGGGGGGGGGGTTGGACTAGATGACTTACAAGGTCCTTTCCAACTCTTGATTATCTGTTAGACCAAGCCGGATAGACCAAGGTTGTGGGGGGGGAGGATGAGGGTGAAATGTTGCAATCTGGAACAAACGGTGAAGGGAGGAAGTGGTCTTCCATTGACTCATCATCCCATTCGTGAGCATTTCTTGCAAAATGGTTTTCTGGCTAAAAGTCTCCATCCTTTGGCCCAGAGAAAAGGGTTTGACGCAACAGAGCGTCTGGGAAGAAGGATTTGAGTTTTGGGGGCCAAAGATCGTTGGCAACTTTGGACTGGGGTGGAGGGGGGGGGTGCAGAGATACACATGGCAGCCTCTTCTGTCCCACGAGGGCGGGGTAGGTTTGTTTTTAAGTTTTTCTGCAGGGATTGGGCCTGAAGGAAATTAGCCAAGCTCTTAAGTTTTGGGTTCCTGGGTGAAAAGTCAGATGGGATCAGAACATTTGGGGTCCTTGGTGCTCCCTGAGCTGGGTGGTGGTTCTGGCAGACGTTTTGTCACCCAACTAGGTAACATCTTCAGTGCTACAAGGGAGTGAGGTTGGAGGAGGAAGAGGAAGAAAGAAAGACAAGGGAGAGAGAGAATGAAAGAGAGAGAATAAAAGAGAGAAAGAATGAATGAAAGCAAGAATGAATGAGAGAAAGAATGAATGAAAGGAGAAAAAAATGAAAGAAAGAAAAAAAAGAAAAGATTGTGGCCCCTCAAATCCTGAACTGGGTGGTTTTCTTGGAGATGTTTCAGCACCCAACTAGGTAACATCTTCAGTGCTAGAAGAGGGTGGGGTTGGAGGAGGAGGAGAAAGAGGAAGAGGAAGATTGTGGAGTCTTTACTGCTTTCTGAGCTGGGTGGTGGTTCTTGCAGACGTTTTGTCACCCAAGTAGGTAACATCTTCAGTGCTACAAGGGAGTGAGGTTGGAGGAGGAAGAGGAAGAAAGAGAGAAAGAAAAAGGAGAGAGAGAATGAAAGAGAGAAAGAATGAATGAGAGAGAAAAAATGAAAGAAAAAAAGAAAAGATTGTGGCCCCTCAAATCCTGAACTGGGTGGTTTTATTGGAGATGTTTCATCACCCAACTAGGTAACATCTTCAGTGCTAGAAGGAAATGAAATTTGCTGTTATTTATGTATAGCAGCTGGTCCTGCTGGTGTTGGTGGAATGTGATTTTTCTCCCTTGGTAGTTTCTTGATTTAAATTACTGCTTTCTTCCTGGCTGTTTGTCTAGGCTTAATCCCTGCTCCTCCCTGGGTGTTGGATTTTTAATTATGCTTCCTTTCGGACTCCGCTTGGAAGGCCCAGTTTCACAGATTGCTGGTCAAGCTATTGTTTGTGGGGGTCCTCGCTGCTCTCGGAGCTTGCAGAAGTTTCACTACCCAACTAGGGAACAACCTCCGTGCTGAGGGGCGGGGGGGGGGAGTGCAGTTTGCTCTGAGAATATCCCCATATTTGCAAACTACACTATTCTGTTTCTATGGCTGGGCATGATTTCCCCTTTGCTTTCAAATCCTGTTTTTATCTTCAGTTTCATATTGATTCCGTGTGTGTGTGTGTGTGTGTGTGTGTGTGTGTGTGTGAGAGAGAGAGAGAGAGAGAGAGAGAGAGAGAGAGAGAGAGAGCACCACAACCATCAAAAATATGAGTCCGCTGCCAAGCATCTGAATTCTGATCCCGCAACCATGGGGATGCTGCAAATGGTCATAAGTGTGAAAAACTGTTCCCTAAGTCCACTTTTTTTCCAGTGCTGTTGTAACTTCAAATGGTCACTATAGGAACTGTTGTAAGTCGAAGACTACCTGTCTTTCCCCTTCCCTGCTGTCTTCCACAGCATACAATGCTGTTCCCTTTTAATCTTTGATATTTTTAAATGTCTTAGTTGTAGTCTCACATTTAAGGAAAAATGAAGGTAGACTCTGCCCAGTGGTGACTCAGTGGCGAAGACACTGAGCTTGTCGATCAGAAAGGTCAGCAGTTCAGCGGTTTGAATCCCTGGCGCTGCGTCACAGAGTGAGCTCCTGTTACTTAATAGATAATCAGAGTTGGAAGGGACCTTGTAAGTCATCTAGTCCAACCCCCTGCCCAAGCGGGAGACTCTACACCATTTCTAACAGATGGCAGTCCAATCTCTTCTTGAAAGCCTCCAGTGATGAAGCTCCCACAACTTCTGAGGGCAACTTTTGTTCCATGGGTGGATTGTTCTCCCTGTCAGAAAGTTTCTCCTTATTTCCAGGTTGAATCTCTCCTGGATCAGTTTCCATCCATTGTTCCTTGTCTGGCCTTCAGGCGCTTTAGAAAATAGCTTGACCCCCTCCTCCTCTCTGGGGCAGCCCCTCCTCAAATATTGGAAGACTGCTATTATGTCTCCCCTGGTCCTTTTCTTCCCTAGACTAGCCAGGCCCAGTTCCTGTAACCATTCTTCATATGTTTTAGCCTCCAGTCCCCCAATCATCCTGGTTGCTCTTCTCTGCACTTTTTCTAGAGTCTCCACATCTTTTTTGATGGTGTGGGGACCAAAACTGGACGCAGGACTCTAGGTGTGGTCTTACTAAGGCTTTATAGAGTGGTATTAGTACCTCCCTTGATCTCGATTGTATCCCTCTGTTAACGCAACTTAGGATTGCATCGGCTTTTTGGTCTCAGCTTCTGCCAACCTAGCGGTTTGAAAGCATGTAAAGAATGCAAGTAGAAAAATAGGGACCCCTTGGGTGGGGAAGGTAACAGCGTTCCATGCGCCTTCGGCGTTTAGTCATGCCGGCCACATGACCATGGAGGCGTCTTCGGACAGCACCGGCTCTTCTTTGGCTTTGTAACGGGGAGGAGCAGCGCCCCCTAGAGCCAGAAACGACTAGCACGTATGTGTGAGGGAAAACTTTTACCTGGCACTGGAGATCATCTCAAGTCATTTGGGAGGTGCTGTGAATTTCTGAAGCTTTGGGTCTAACGTAGAGATAGGGAGGCAAAGTCCAGGGTAAATAAGGAGTGTCCATTGCCTTCCCCCTTCCTCACCTTGGGGCTTGTAAATGGGTTGTGTAGATAATTTCACCCTTGATCCTTGTTCTCTGAGCAAATTACCTTTTGTGAGAATTACATGCCTGTCTCTTTATCTCTCTGGAATTTGTCTAGATGAACTCGGGTTCATCTAGATAAAACCTGGTGCGTAATCCGAACTTTCTTCCTTTGTAGCTGCACCTCGACTGGTTATGGCTTCCACTCAGAATCTCGATGTCACCCAATCCACCACCGGCCCAGCGGCCACCCAATCTACCACCGATCCAGCGGCCGCCCAATCTACCACCGGTCCAGCGGCGGAAGAAACCGAGCAGAAAATAAGTGAGGTATGGAGATATTTGGAAATTATAGATAGAAAAAAAGAGAAAATAGAGTAGGGAAAATAGAATGTCGAGAGTTAGAAGGCACCTTGGAGGTCATCTAGTCCAGCCGCCTCCTCAAGCAGGAGACTTTCTATACCATTTCACACAAATGGCTGTCCGGTCTCTTCTTTAAAGCCTCCAATGTTGGAGAACTCAGGACTTCTGATGGCAGGTCGTTCCACCGGTTAATTTTTCTCACTGTTGGGAAGTTTCTCCTTAGAAAGAACAGAACAGAACAGAATAGAATAGAATTCTATATTGGCCAAGTGTGATTGGACACACAAGGAATTTGTCTTGGTTTAAATGCTTTCAGTGCACATAAAAGAAAAGAGACATTTATCAAGAGTCAAGAATCATCAGGTCCAACACTTAATAATGGTCATAGGGTACAATGCCATCAAATCATACTAGGAAACAGTCTATATAAACCGTAAGGATACAAGCGACAAAGTTACAGTCCTACAGTCACAAGTGGGACGGGAAGGGCGATAAGGAGTGGTGAGAAGATTCATAGTAATAGTAGTGCAGACTTTGTAAATAGTTGGACAGTGTTGAGGGAATTAATTGGTTAGCAGAGTGATGGCTTTTGGGAAAAAAACTGTCCTTGTGACTAGTTGTTCTGGTGTGCGGGGCTCTATAGCATCGTTTTGAGGGAAGGAGTTGGAACAGTTTATGTCCGGGATGTGAGGGGTCTGTAAATATTTTAGTTATATTTAGTTCTAGGTTGCTTCTCTCCTGGGTTAGTTTCCATCCGTTGCTTCTTGTCCTGCCTTGAAGTGCTTTGGAGAATAGCTTGACTCCCTCTTCTTTGGGGCAGCCCCTCAAATACTGGAATGCTGCTATCATGTCAACCCTAGTCCTCCTTTTCATTAAACTAGACATGCCCAATTCCAGCAACCGTTCCTTATATGCTTTAGCCTCCAGTCCCTTAATCCAGGGGTCGCCAACCTTTCGGACCTCAGGGACCACGAAATTCATAATTTTAAATCCTGGGGACCACTAACTGGTTCTGTGGGTGTGGCCTAATTTGTGGGTGTGGCTTGGTGGTCATGTGACTGGCTGGGCCTGGTTTGTATGTAAATATAAATATATAAATATTGAATTTTTTTTTTATAAAAAAGAGCAACTTTTACCCAAAATCAGGCAAAGCAGGCAGGCAGATTGAGTTGCTCACAGAATCACAGATTCCCTCAGAGATCTGTGTTTCTGCCATCAGCTAGCTGAGTCTGCACTGCTTCAGTCCTAAGGAAGGTTTGGCTCTGCTTAAAAGTAGAGCTATTAGCTAGAAAGCAAGAAATCCAATGGTGTCCTGCTTCCTAGCTAATCTAAATCTCCCGGCACAGCAGAACAACGGATGGTCAGAAAAAAAGGAAAAATAGCAACTTAGCAGGCAAGTTTGCCATGGAAGGAGTGAGTGGGCCAGGAGGGTCCCTGCGGGCCATGTGAGCGGCGCAACCTTGTGTTCCCGCACAGCCTGGATTAATTGGGGGGGTGCTGAGGGGGGTGGACATTTCTCTGCGGACCACCAATTTTTTCTTTTGTTGCGGATTTTGGCTCCCAGAATTCCCCAGCCATGCATGCTCGCTGGGGAATTCTGGGAGTTGAAGTCCTCAAATCTCAAAAGCTGCCAAATTTGAAAATCACTGCTCTAGAGGCCCGAGAGGCACAAGGGGGAGCCATTCCTCAATTTACAACCACAATTCAGTTGCTAAATGAGTCACAACCCATTTTTAACCATCCTTTGGTCACAGTCGTTGAGCCAAATCAGTGCAGTTGTTAAGCGAATCACAGAGTCATTAAGCAAATCTAGCGCACACACACCCCCAATCGCTTTTGTTTTGTCAGAAGCCAGCTGGGAAGGTCACAAATGAGAATCACATGACCCTGGGAGCCTGTAGCCACCCTAAACCACCTGCCGGTTGCCAAGCACCTGAATTTCAATCATGTGACCGTAGGGAATGCTATGACGGTCGTACGTGTGAGGACTGGGTCATAAGTCACTTTTTTTCCCCCAGAGCCATTGTACCTTTGAGCGGTCACTAAAGGAATAATTGTAAGTCAAGGACTAGCTACAATATCCCAGCAGCCAGTTACTGATCACGTCTGCTGATTTCTCCTTTGGAGCAACATAGCAATAGCCATTAGACTTATATACCACTTCACCATGTTTTTATAGCCCTCTCTAAGCGGTTTACAGAGTCAGCCTATGGCCCCCAACAATCTGGATCCTCATTTAACCCACCTCGGAAGGATGGAAGGCAACCTTCAACCAAACTGCTGGCGGTGGGCAGAGTCAGCCCGCAATGCTGCATTCTAACCCCTGTCCCACCAGGGCTCTTGAAAGAGAAAGAGATGATGGATGGATGGAAGAAAAGGAAGGAAGGAAGAGAGAAAGGAAGAGAAAGAATGAGGGAAAAGGAAGGAAGGAAAGAAAGAGAAAGTAAAAAAGTGGAAGAAAAGGGAAGAAAGAAGGGAAGGGAGGGAAGGAAGGAAGAAAAGGAAGGAAGAAAAAGGGAAGAAAGAAAAGGAAGGCGGAAAGGAAGAAAGAAAAGGAAGGAAGGAAGAAAAGGAAGGAGGGAAGGGAAGAAAGAAAAAGAGAAAAAGAAAGGGAAGAAAGAAAGAAGGGGAGAAGGAAAGAAAGGGAAGGAAAAAGGGAAGTAAGAAAGGAAGGAGGGAAGGAAGAAGGAAGGGAAGGACGGAAGAAAAGGAGGGAGGGAAGGAAGAAAAGGAAGGAAGAGACTTATATCCTGTTTTACAGCCCTCTTTTAGTGATTTTACAGTCAGCCTCTTGCCCCCCCCCACGATCTGGATCCTCATTTTACCCACCTCGGAAGGACGGAAGGCTGAGTCGCCCTTTGAGCCTGGTGAGATTCGAACTGCCAAATTGCAGGCAGTCAGCAGAAGTAGCCTGCCGTACTGCGCTCTTAACCACTACGCCACCGCGGTTCATGGTGGAGATTCGTTGCCAAACATGTTTGAAGCTGGGCCAAGCTGGCGTAGAGTTTGCCCAGAGCTGAGAGATGACAAACCCTGGATCTATTTTGAGAGTGAGCAAGGGCTGTGTCGCCTTCTGACTTTTGCAAAGACCGTTGCACAACCCTCGGAAAAATGAATTCTCTGGAACGAGGGTCATTTTCCTTGGGTGATTTTGTCAAGGACAAGATGCCAGGGTTTCGTTCCTGACCTCTGCAGGGCAAGATGCCAGGGGGAAGGGCTTTAGGATCCAGGCCGCTGGGTGCCAGCTCTAATCCCTCATTGCGGTGACTCTCCTGAACGTGGCTGCACAAACACACACACACACACATTTCTTGCTGGCGCTTGTAAATACTAGGTTGTGCTGCCCATAGCTGCTAATTTGTTCCACGTTTTGTCAACTCATAATAAGACATTTGTATGGCCGTTTTAAAAGTTGCCAACAGAAAGGGAGGAAGGAAAGGGGTTTGAAAGAGCAGCGCGGCAGCTTGGAAATCAAAAGTGCATTCCATGCATAGTTTTTCAGTGATTGTAACTAAGGTGTTGTGGTTCACCGGCAGCAGGTGCAGATGGATGAGATCTCTGAGAGTGAGGACTCGGACGAGGGGGCCTGCGCGTGATGCAGCGATGGGTCCAGGATCATCAGGGAGTGGAGTGTTGTCTTTGGGGATTGTGGAGGCTGGCAGCAATGAGGAAGAGGTCCCCGAGGAGCCTGTGCCCAGTGCAAGTGCACGCAGGGCTGCTTGAAGGAAAGAGCAGCTGCAGTAGCACGGGCGACTCAGGAGTAAGGCTGCAAGGTGATGGCCCCTCCCTTAAGGGATAAAAGCCAGCCCTCAAGAGCTGGGATTCTTTGCAGGAAGCAAAGAAGTTCTGGCACTTCAAGTCCTGTGGAAGTTCGGACTATCCTGGTTTGTGTTTGGAGACTTTTGGTGTTGAATATTTCCTTTGCAATTTAATCTAGTGTTCTTGGCAGTTCTTTTATTCTTATCTGGGACGATTAGTTTTAATAGCATTTTTAATGTGAATGAATGGACGGAATTCACACAGAAGCATTAAAGAGGTTTTGCTTTGATCTCCGTTTGGTGTTTGTTTGCTTAGAACGAGGCTTGGGTCAGAACCCTAGGTGACTGAAGTTTCTAATGGGAGAACACGATTGATGACTCTTGGCTAAGTCGGTGTGATGACCCGGAGTGTAATACAAATGAAACAAAATCCAAAACATACATAAATGTCCTTTAATGCCACCAACTTGGCCCCACCGTTCAATAATTTTCAGTTGAGTTTAAAACATACTCAAAAATAGCCTTCGAAAGAAAGCAATACAGCCTGAACTTAATGAGCAGGTAGAGGTGAAATAAAAAACCAAAACAAACTGCGATGATGACATTCGCACAACGGACCAGGATAAGTACCAGATTCAAGGAGATAACAAGGCAGAGTCTGTTGGAAGAACGCCAACCAAGATAACTTCAGCCCAAAATAACACACACTTTGCTTCTAGCAATGCTGTATTTAAACCGTCTCTCTTATATACTATTCTCCCCAGCTGCAACTAATGAAAGGGGATCATGGCCGCTTCCTCTCTCGTAAGCCAAGTTGTTTCCTTCTCCATTCCTTCGTACGTGTCCAAGGATGCAGAGGGGATGGGCCTGGGTCCAGCCAGCTTCTGCCCTTCCCCAGCCTCCTCCACAACCTCCTTAGCCACACCTTCACTCCCTGTCGGCTGTTCCTCCTCTCCCTCAGAGTCCGACTCTATCGAGGGCATGACAGTTGGCTACACCCAGGGTTGTGCCGACATGTTAACTCCCAATAAATCCCGTGTAGTTTTGGAAGTTTGGCTGGAGGCTCATGTCTTAATTGGGGTAATTGCCGAAATCCTGACACATTTTTTTTAATCTACTTATGCCGTTTATAAGCCCCTTGGCAACAAGAAAAAGGCATTTGATGGGAGTTGTGATGGTAACAGAAATAAAATGGGGAGAATTTAAAGAGAACCCAGCTAGTCCTTGACTTACGACCACAATTGAACTCCAAATTTTCTGTTGCTAAGTGAGACGTTGGTGCAGTGAGCTTTGCTCCATTTTATTACCTTGTTTGTCAGAGATGTTGGGTGAATCGCCGCAGTTGATAAGTTAAAAAAACTCCGGTCGTTAAGTGAATCCAGCTTCTCTGTTGACTTGGCTTTGTCAGAAGGTCGCAAAAGGGGATTGCGTGACCCCCGGGGCCCTGCAACCGTCATAAATATGAATCAGTTGCTAAACATCCGAATTTTGATTACGTGAACGCGGGAATGCTGCCAAGGTCGTAACTATGAAAAACGGTCATAGGGGCCATTTTTCAGTGCCAATGTAAACAAACTGTTGTAAGTTGAGGACTATCTGTACTGACAGTCCTCAACTTACGACTGGTTGTTTAATGACCATGCACAGTTGGGATGGACTCCCCCCTCCTTCCCCCGGGCTGGGGAATTCTGGGAGTTGAAGTCCACTCACCCCACAAAATTGGTCCATCTATCAATGTTCCCTTCAAATTATCTCTTATTTTACTTCTGTATTATCACGTCAATCAAATGCTCCCAAAAGCCACTTATAACCCTGTTTTCAAGTTACAACGGGTGGTACACCCTGCAGACACGTAGTTTCCACACCCTTTTCAGGGTCCCGTGAACACAATTTTGCAATTTATTTATTTATTTTGTTGATTTCCAATGTTTGCTTTCAGTTTCAGGCAAGAAAAAAAAAACCCCACCCCTTGGGAAAAATTCACTTAACAACCTTCATAAATATGCCACATTCAAAAGATTGTAAAATTGGGTTAGTCAAATGATGGCCTGCTTTACTCCTGTCACAACGTAAGGCCGTAATGATCAGTGGCTAGTCCTCATGGTTGTCGCTGTTTTCTGCTTCTTCCCTTTGCCAGAATGTAGCTGATAGGGTAGCCAGCCTGCCGCTGGTCAGCTCTGCCTACGACATGGTCTCGGCGGCATACACCTCTACAAAAGAGAGCCACCCCTACGTGAAATCAGTCTGTGACATGGCAGAGAAGGGAGTGAAGACCATTGCTTCGGTGGCGGTCAGCGGTGCCCAGCCCATCCTCAACAAACTGGAGCCACAGAGTGAGTACAATAACCCAAACTGCGCTAAACGAAACTGCATTCTCATTCTGCTTTGCTGTCCCAAAAGCGCTTTTTTCCCCAAAAGGCAACTGAACTTTCTTTGTTTTTTTTTTGAAGACATTTCACTTCTCATCCAAGAAACTTCCTCAGTTCTGACTGAACGGTGAAGGGATGGAAGGATTTATACTCCTTGCAGTCATCTGGTCGTTGGCCCTCTTTCTGAGAGTTGTTGAGACCATTTCAGTGGTGGTTGTTAGGGATACACCCTAGCAGAATCTGCACGGCAGGCAGGCAGGCAGGCAAAATATGTGAGATAAACGTTTTTGTAGCTTACGCTCAGTAAAACAGATACACTGTGCTAGTTAAATAGTTTATTCCAGTAAGAGTTTTAGCATAGTCAAAACAGTCCATATATCATTCACTAATTCAGTCGGTTCGGGGATTATTCAGTTGCAAATTCCAGTGTCGAAAAAGAGGTTAGTAAACTTACAAATATCAGTCCAGTAATATATCTCCTCTTGCAGTAGAGATATGAAGAAGTCAAAACTCCTTTCTTCCTTCAGCAACTCAGCAGCAGGGAAAACACACAGTTAACAAGCCATCAATTCATCAAACCAGTCAATCGTCAGGAATCATCAGCAATCCAGCAGGTTCTCTTGCTCCCTCTTATGGCGGTTCAACACCGGCACCCAAAATTACATGCTTTGCAGTTTAAAGTGACACACACTTAAACTTACTATCATAGTTTATATATATATTATTTTACCCAAACTACGTTAGGTAACCTTGTTATTCCTAACAATGGTATTCTACCAGTTCATCCCAGTTTGACTGAACTGGTAGCTCCGACGATCAGTCACGTGGTCAAAATTTGGGTTTCCTGGAATCACCATTTGTAACCTTCCCAGCTGGCTTTGAACAAGCAAAGTCAGATGAGGGAAGGCAGATCTGCTTAACAACCACCGCAAAACAAGTTGTTAAGTGAGTTTGGCTCCATTTTGTGACATTTTTTGCCACGCTTCAGTGAATCACTGCAGTTGTTAAGCAAATCACATGGTTGCTAAGTGCATCTGCCTTCCCCCTCCCATTGACCCCGTGGTTCTGTGATCAATCATATGCATATCATTACCCATGAAAAAAGTAGAGTGTAGACCAGGGCTCTTCGAACTTGACAGCTTTAAGACTTGTGGACTTCAACTCCCAGAATTCCTCCTCCAGTCAGGTTAGCTCAGGAATTCTGGGAGTTGAAGGCCACAAGTCTTAAAATGGCCGATGTTGAAGGCCCCCCCATGTTAGACCAGGGGTCTTCAAACTTGACAGCTTTAAGACTTGTGGACTTCAACTCCCAGAATTCCTCCTCCAGTCAGGTTAGCTCAGGAATTCTGGGAGTTGAAAGCCACAAGTCTTAAAATGGCCGATGTTGAAGGTCCCCCCATGTTAGACCAGGAGTCTTCAAACTTGACAGCTTTAAGACTTGTGGACTTCAACTCCCAGAATTCCTCCTCCAGTCAGGTTAGCTCAGGAATTCTGGGAGTTGAAGCCCACAAGTGTTACACTTGCCAGGTTTGAAGACCCTCTGTAGAGCATCAGAAATGACGTAGGGTCTCCCGCGTGGGCGGGGGATTGGACTAGATGACCTACAAGGTCCCTTCCAACTCTTATCTGTTAGAGGGGCTTGAATGCATGGTGAATGGCCACCATCTTGACTTTTTTTTTTACCTCCAGGGACAAGCTAACCTTTTCTTCTTCTCCAGTTTCCACAGCCAACGAATACGCCTTGAAAGGTTTGGACAAGCTGGAAGAGAAGTTGCCAATCCTTCAACAACCCACGGATAAGGTAATCAAAACCTTCCTTCCTTCCAGGCTATACAAATTAAGATTTGAAGATCAAAAATGCATCCAGTCAAAAGATTTGATTCATGCTTCAAAAAAAAAAAAATCTGCCTGCTGCATCAGTGCAATAGCTGCATTTGGAAAACGCTGTTTTTCACAGAGAAGTTATAGGTAGAGATTTACAAGGGAATTTTTTTAAATGAAATTCCATCAGTCCTATGTCTGCCTAGACTCAGGTTCTGCCAGCCGAGGACTGACCTGAAAAAGAGAAAAAGTTAAACTGTTATGGGTGGAGATATATCTATATCTCTATCTCTATCTCTATATCTATCTATCTATATGGTATTCAGCTTTGTTCGAGTATTTTCCCACGTCATTGTAGTTGTGCTTTTAAAGTTGTAGCAGCATTTTGGCAGAATCTCATCTGCCATCATCAGGCTTCTGTATAGTGTTTGTCGAACACAATACAGAAGCCTGATGATGGCAGATGAGATTCTGCCGAAACGCTGCTACAACTTTAAAAACACAACTATAATGACGTGGGAAAATACCCGAACAAAGCTGAATACCATACATGTAAGTACCCGTGAAAACTTAAGAAAACATATAGATATAGATATAGATATAAAATTGCAAAATACCCCTCACACATCATCACAAAATCTCCAGAACCATAAAGCCTACAAACTTGACATGGTCCGTATGTTCCTCTTGGCTTCTAGGTGCTCGCTAAGGAAGGATTTTTCGAAATGACCATCATCAGAGCATTAGTACTTCCTATATCACTATTAACACGCTCTGATGCTAAGGAGATCTACTCCCCCTCCCCACCTGAAAAGAAATCTCTTCGAAATGCAAAACACAAGCAGAGGAGAGGAATTTCAGTTTCAGTTTTGCTTTCACAGCAGCACCAAGCAGCTTTAGTACAGAACAGTTGACCTAAGCCACACCCAGGCTCCTTCCTGTCTCCTTGCTCACATGGCAAATACTGTTTCAGTTTCCAAACAGCCCTCAATTCTCTCACACTGACAGGACACTAGCCAGATGAATACCGATGGATGCTGGTAGGCAGAGGCAGAATTTTTTTCTCCTTACTTTCCTCCTGAAAAACTAAGCCCTCTCACATAGTTTCGTAGCGAAGCACGGGATATCCAGCTAGTAGATAATATAAAGTAGTATGTTTCATCCTTGGATCCTTTAAGATGGATGGACTTCAACTCCCAGAATTCCCCAACCAGCCATGCTGGCTGGGGAATTCTGGGAGTTGAAGTCCGCCCATCTTAAAGGGGCCAAGATTCCACTTTATTGGGAGTTTGAAGATGGAAATTGGTTTACTGGGACTCTGAAGCATTTTCTTGAGATTGGTTGAGATTATATGCCCCTCCCCCCCAAAGCAATTAATCTCAGCTGCGCAGGAAGACAAGGCTGCGCCGCCCACATGGTTTGTGGGAAAACAAGGTTTGCGTTGCATACGAGGTAGTAAGGGGAGGGGGGAAAGGGCGGAGGGGGGGAACTTGCCCCACTCGCCCCACATGCCTGGCCTGGCCACCGGGCTGCTTCTTTCTGCTTCTTTCTTCTTCTGCTTTTGGCTGCACGCAAGGAAAGCAGCCAAAGTCTGTCTTTCTCTACCCCCAAACTCCGCCAGAAATGAGTCTTTGGGACCCTGCAAGGCCTCCTGCTCCAAGAGGCTGCGCCGGCGTGACAAGTCTCACAAAGACAAATTTCTAGCAGAGTTTGGGGGAGAGAAAGAAAGACTTCTGCGGCTTCTGCTGCTTTCCTTGCATGAAGCCAAAAGTCTCTCTCTCTCCCTGAGAACAGAGCTGGAGACGGTCTCCTGCGATCCCAAACAAACAATGATTGATCGGTAGGAAAAGCGGATGGGGGATTTTCCTGCAGACTTTTTGGGGGATTTTTCCCAGGGTGTCTGGTCCGCGGGATGTAAAATTATGAGTTTGGTGGTCCCTGAGGTCCCAAAGGTTGGTGACCCCTGGACTAGAAGGGCCTCCAAAGTTCCTTCCAACTCTTGCTGATTCTGTTCTTCTTTCAGATCATTTCAGGCACAAAAGACCTGGTGACCGGGGCTAAGGAGGCGGTGAGTTCCACCGTCAGTGGCATGGTGGACAAAACCAAGGAAGTGGTCCAGGGCGGCGTGGACATAACCCGCTCGGCTGTCCAGAGTGGCGTGGAGATGACCCGCTCGGCGGTTTCCAGCAGCGTCAACACCGTGATGGAGTCTTCCGTGGCACAGATGGTGTCCAGCAACTTGGAAGCGGCCCTTGGAAAATCTGAAGAGATGGTGGACCATTATCTTCCCATGACCGATGAAGAACTGGGTGAGTCGGTTGTCCGAGAGAAGCTGAAATTTTTCAGCTTCGGACGGCCACCTTAAGAGAGGGGTGGACTTCAACTCTCAGAATACCCCCCCAACCAGCCGTATTATGTGGGGTCCTTGGCGCTCTCTGCGAGGTTGGTTGTTTTCTTTGGAGATGTTTCATGACCCAACTAGGTAACATCAACAGGGCTAGAACGGCATGGGGATTTCTCTCTGTTTAGAATTAGAATTAGAATTCTTTTTATTGGCCAAGTGTGATTGGACATACAAGGAATTTGTCTTGGTGCAAATCATCAAGAGCCAAGAATCATCAGGTCCGACACTTAATGATAGTCACAGGGTACAAATAAGCCATCAAATCATACTAGGAAACAGTCCATATAGATCGTAAGGATACAAGTTACAGTCCTACAGTCACAAGTGAGAGGGGAGGGGTGATAAGGAGCGATGAGAAGGTTAATAGTAATTTTACACAAAGCGGCTTGCCCTGTCAATACTGAGTAGGGATGGCCTTGGTGGTTCCTTGGATAGGGTGTTGTTTATTATTAGCTTGTTCGTCTTGAGTTGGTAGTGGAAAGCTACTGTATATAAAACATAAAGGAAACCCCACACTCCTTCTAGCACTGATGATGTTACCAGGTTGGGAAATTAAATGTCTACCAGAAAACAACAAAGCTCAGGAAATACCCCACAATTCTCCTCCTCCTCCTCCTCCTCCTCCTCCTCCTCCTCCTTCTCTTCCTCCTCCTCCTCCTCCTCCTCCTCCAACCCCACCCCCTTCTATCCCTGATCATGTTCCCTAGTTGGGTCATGAAACGTCTGCAAGAAAACCATGAAGCTCAGAGAGCACCAAGGGCCCCACAGTCTTCCTCCTCCTCCTCCTCCTCTTCCTCTTCCTCCTCCAACCCCACCCTCTTCTATCCCTGATCATGTTCCCTAGTTGGGTCATGAAATGTCTGCAAGAAAACCTTGAAGCTCAGAGAGCACCAAGGGCCCCACAGTCTTCCTCCTCCTATTCCTCCTCCTCCCTCCTCCTCTTCCTCCTCCTCCACCCCACCCCCTTCTATCCCTGATCATGTTGCCTAGTTGGGCCATGAAACGTCTGCAGGAAAACCACCAAGCTCAAAAGAGCACCAAGAACCCCGCCGTTCAACCCCGAGCTACGTAGATTCTCTTGTGTTGGCTAGGCGTGCTTGGTGGGTAACCCTAGGTTTTTATCGCTCTTTTTCCTAGCCAAACTGGCTACCTCCGTGGAGGGCTTTGAAATTGGCACGGTGGAGCAGCAGAAGGAGCAGAAAAGCTACTTTGTGCGCCTGGGGTCCTTGTCCAGCAAACTTCGCCACCGGGCCTTCCAACACTCCCTGGTCAAGTTGAAAAAGGCCAAGCAGGGCACCCAAGACTCGCTGTCCCAACTGCACCAGACCATCGAACTGGTAAGGAGAAACTTGTGGAACGAAAGCCGTGGTGGCACAAGGGTGCCCTGGGGACGCACGGTGGTTAAAAGGTGGTATTGCGGGCTGACGCTGCCCACTGGCAAGAGTTCGATCCTGGCTGGCTCAAGGTGGACGGCTTTGAGCCTTCCGTCCTTCCGAGGTCAGTAAAATGAGGACCCAGGATAGTTGGGGGACGTATGCTGACTCTGTAAACGGCTTAGGGTTGTAAAGCACTGTGAAGCGGTATATAAGTGCTATTGTTCGCTTTCTCTCTCTCTCTTTATCTACAGTCTCTATCTACATTCTCTCTCTCTCTCTCTTCTACCTACAATCTCTCTTCTAGCTATGATTGTACCATATATCTATTGTCTATCTACAATCTCTCTCCTCCATCTACAATCTTTCCATCTCTCTCTCTCCCCTATCTACAATAGCTACCTACCTACCGGTCTGTCTGTCTGTCTGTCATTTATCTTCCATCTACAATCTTCCCCCCCTCTCTCTCTCTCTCTCTCTCCTATCTACAATCTCTCTTTATCATCTACAATCTCCTATCTACAATCTCTTATCATCTACAATCTCTCTGTCTTCTATCTACAATATCTCTTTCTCTATCATCTACAATCTCTATCTTTTATCTACAATCTCTCTCTCTTTATCATTTACAATCTCTCTCTCTCTCTTCCATCTACAATCTTTCTCTCTCTCTCTCTTCTATCTACGATCTCTCTCTCTCTCTATCTTCTATCTACAATCTTTCTCTCTCTCTCTTCTATCTACAATCTCTTTATCATCTACAATATCTATCTTCTATTTACAATCTCTCTCTCTCTATCTTCTATCTACAATCTCTCTTTCTCTATCATTTACAATCCCTCTTTCTATCTTCTATCTGCAATCTCTCTCTCTTCTATCTACAGTCTCTTCTATCCACAATCTCTCTCTCTTTATCATTTACAATCTCTCTTTCTCTCTCTCTCTCTTCTATCTACAATCTCTCTTATCATCTACAATCTCTCTGTCTTCTATCTACACACTCTCTCTCTTCCTCTATCATTTACAATCTCTCTCTCTCTCTCTCTCTCTTCTATCTACAATCTCTCTCTCTCGCCATAAGGCAACTCTAGGCAGTTTATAACAGCAAACTGTTTATGACCTTTTTTGCGATGTTGTTAAAACGAACCATCATCGTTAAGTGAGACGCCACATGATCATAGGGCGAGGACTGGCCGGGAGTCATTTTTTCCCCCAGTGCCGTTGTAACTCTGAATGGCTGCTAATCAAAAGGATGTAAGTCGAGGCCTCCCTGTGGCCCAATCCTGAAGAGCATCGCAGAAAGAAACACAACGAAGAATCGCCCTTTTTGATCCAATGGGTGTCTGGTTGTGTTCGAACCCACAGCCAGGAGCACCACTAACCTTCAGATTGCCCGTGTTAGTAACTGTGATTTTTCAGTCCTCACTTTCCTTCAGCATGTGGTTGTTAAGCAAATCACTGGTGCTGTTAAGTGAATTGCACAGTCATTAAGTAAATCCAGCCTTTCCCTTATCTGAAGTGTCAGAGCGTTTGCAGTGTGGCTACCATTATGAGACAACCCAGGAGCAAAAAAGAAAAAAACAAACCACCACACAGAGACGTAGATATTTAACAGTGGTTTGTATACAACAGTTACATACAGACATATACGTGGTAGGCAAAATACCTTACAAGCAATCTTTCTTCTCCTTAACTCTACACGGAGAACTTCTGCAATGAATACCAGACACAAGGAGAGAGAACACGCCCTCTAATGGCTGCCTTTATATAAACACCTCTTAAAGGGGTAGAACCCATCCCCAGTCTTAAAGGGAAATACCCATGCTAGGCTGAATCCCCTCTTATTGCATCAGCCACAACTGGCAGCTATTACTGCTGGTCGGCTTTTAAATCCCAAGACCTTAACACGATGCCAGCTGGGAAGGCCACAAATGGCGATTATGTGACCCCGGAAAAAAATACATGTTGGTTGCCAAGCACCCACATTTTACCATATGACTATAGGGATGAGGACCGCAAGTCACTAAACAAACCGTTGTATGTCAAGGTGTGGTGGCCTGTCAGCTGCCGGCCCCTCCAGCAGCCGAATCAGAGGAGGAGGAGGAGGTGTGGGAAGAGAAATAGCTGGGTCCGGTGCCTGACGTGTGGATGTGTAGAAGGCGGAGAGGAGAGGAGAGCAGTGGAAAACTATGGGCCGGTCCTTGGGACGGAAGCCCCACCTTAGCTCTGGGGATAGAAGGCAGGAGGCGGAGATGAATAGATGTGGCCGACAACTATTCATCTTCCGGCCAGACGGACTTGTTAGCCTGCGAGAGAAATGTTTTGCCAAGGCCGCCGGCATTCCTAATAAAGGAATCTTTTTGAGTTCACATCAAGAGGGTTTGTGGTGTTTGGGGAACTGGGTCAGAATATACAAGGACGGCCTGCAATGATGAGGAGGAACAGGGACCCAGGTTCTCAAGAACTTCAGTTCATCCTTCTGCTTAAGACTATAGAGTCTCGGGGGTTCCTTTTTAGCTATTTTTCCACCCCCCCTGGGTTTTTTTTTTTCTCCCAGAGTTGCTGACTCGGCCTTTTCCTTTGTCTCTCTCTCTCTCTTCCCAGATCGAACACGTCAAACAGGGAGTTGATCAGAAGCTTCAAAGCGGCCAGGAAAAACTCCATCAGATGTGGCTGCAGTGGCACCAGAAGCAGGCTCCGGAGGTGACCCAGAAGGATGCCCCCAAGCCACAGGTACAGAACGACAACGAGGCGGGAGGGTCCTTAGAGGTCTTCTAGTCCAACCCGCCGCTCAGGGAGGAGGAAGAAGACCCTGTATACCATTCCAGGCAAATTGGGTTGTCCAACCTCTCCTTCAAAATCTTCCGTGATGGAGCTCCCGCAAGTTTGGTGAATTGTCCTCACTGTTAAGAAGTTTCTCCTTAGTTCTAGGTTGGACCTTCTCTTGAATAACCTTCCGCCCGTTACTTCTTGAAAAACGGTTTGTGGGAGGAAGAAGTACACTAAACCAATTCTTAAAAGCTTTCGGGTTTTTTATACATCTTTGTTAGGGATACTCCCTAGCAGAATCTGCACAGCAGTCAGGCAGGCAGGCAAAATATGTGAGATAAACGTTTTTGTAGCTTACACTCAGTAAAACAGATACACAGTGCTAATTAAATAGTTTATTATTCCAGTAAGAGTTATAGCATAGTCAAACAGTCCATATATCATTCACTAGTTCAGTCCATCCAGGGATTATTCAGTTGCAAATTCCAGTGTTGAAAAAGAGAGGTCAGTAAACTTACAAATATCAGTCCAGTAATATATCTCCTTGCAGTAGAGATATGAAGAAGTCAAAAACTCCTCTCTTCCTTCAGCAACTCAGCAGTAGGGGAAACACGCAGTTAACAAACCATCAATCCATGCAATTCAGTAATTGTCAGCAATCAATCAGGTTCTCTTGCTCCCTCTTATGGTGGTTTCACACCACACCCAAAATTACATGCTTTGCAGTTTTAAAGTGACACACTCTTAAACTTACAATCATAGTTTATATATATTATTTTACCCAAACTACGTTAGGTAACCTTGTTATTCCTAACAATCTTTAAAAAAGACCACCTTGTTAAGGTCCTGAAAGTCCTTCAATGGTTGCCCTAAGTCTTGGAGGCTGAATTATCTGCCCATAGTAAGATGACAACTTTGGGGTCGTTTGTGCAAGATAACAGAAAAACAGAGTTAGAAGGGAGCTTGGAGGTCTTCTAGTCTAACCCCTCTCTCCTCAGGGATATACCATTTCAGATAAATGCTCTCTGCACTAGACCAGGGGTGTCCAACCTTGGCAACTTTAAGACTTGTGGACTTCAACTCCCACCCAGCAAAGCTGGCTGAGGAATTCTGGGAGTTGAAGTCCACAAGTCTTAAAGTTACCAAGGTTGGACACCCCTGCCCTAAACCATTCCAGACGGGTGGCTGTCCACTCTCTTCTTAAAAACCTCCACTGATGAAGCACCCACAACTTCTGGTGGCGAGCAGTTCCACGGGTTAATTCTTCTACATGTCAGGAAAATTTCTCCTTAGTTCTAGGTTTCTTCTCTCTTGGATTAGTTTCCATCCGTTGCTTCTTGTCCTGCCTGCTGGGTGCTTTGAAAAAAGATCTTGACTCCCTCTTCTTTTGGGGCAGCCCTTGAGATATTAAAACACTGCTATCCTGTCTCCCCTGGTCCTTCTCTTCAGTAGAACCAACTCCTGCAACCGATCTTCACGTTCTAGTCTCCAGACCCCTAATCACCCATTGATGATAATTGATAAGGATGTTATCCATTCAATCGTGCCTGACTCTTGATGATTCTGTGGGCCAGGTGTCTCCACATCTTCCAATCTTCTTTCAGTTGTTCTATGCTCTGCCCGATGTCAGCTTTGAGGGTGTCCCAACCACCATGTCCTTTGAGGGGCCGGTTTCCTTTTGCCACTAGCTCTTCTGGACACCATTGTTTTCTCCAGTGAAATCCCCTCACATGACACGGCCAAAAATAACTGAGATGAAGTTGTCAGCTTTGGAAGCCATATTAGCAGCAGAAGCTTCCACGCTGCCGCATTCTTGAGCTGTTGGAAAGTGGGGATTTCATGGAGCGTACGTGGTGAGACATAATAGCATTTTTTCTTTAAAGTCAAGGTCATGTTATTTCTGCACCTGGTTGAAAGGACGTCTCAAGTTGGAACGGATGGTGATTGCGGCATGTGATGGAATAATGGGTGCAGGGAGTGGATTTATAATTTTTTTACTTATTGGAGGAAAACCCAGAACTTTCAGATTCGGGGTTTCCTAGATGTGCCAGTATAACTACTCTAATAAAAGGAAACTTGCCTTTCTCTGAGTTTTTAATTGAAGTTGGGTTTTTCTGAGGACATATCTGGTCTTTTCTGTGACGGTCCCTCGAGTATGGAAGATGGCTATCATGTCACCCCTGGTCCTTCTATTTGTTCTCCACCTGAGTTATTTCTTGGTGGCTTGGAGAACCAGTTGACCATACCATGTTCTCCACAGGAACCCTGGCGTTTTAGTTTACTTTATTGTCATCGCACCTCATACAATGAAATCAAACGCCATCTTCAGGGCACATCATGACCATGAAAATAAACACAAACACACATCCTTCACACGCCACACAATGAATTAAAAAAAAACCCCGACACCACACCAGCACTGCACTATACAGTAGAATTCAAAAGAGCTACTGCCCTGGGATAGAAGCTGTTTTCCAGCCTATTTGTCCTTGTTATTCTGTACTTTTACTTTTATTATTCTGTTTTAATTTATTTGGAGGTGTGGAGGAGATACCCTCCACCTGAAGTTCCCAAAGTGATTTTTTTTTCAAGAGGCAGCTCGACTTCCTTTGTTTTTCCTCGAAGACGTTTTGCTTCTCATCCAAGAAGCTTCTTCAGTTCTCAGAGCTAAACCTCCAAGTGGCCTCAACGACTCTTGGAGAGAGCACAAACGACCAGATGACTGCAAGGAAGGTAAATTCCTTCCATCCTCCCCCCATTCAGTCAGAAATGAAGAAGCTTCTTGGATGGGTTGTGAAACGTCTTCAAGCAAAGCCAAGAAAGTCCAGTTGCTTTTGGGATCTGCATTACGGGGAATCTCCATAGAGGTCCACCTGAAGAACTAACCAATCTGACTTTTGCTTGGATCCCCGTTGCAGGAGATCGAGTCCCAAGCTCTGGAGGTCTCCCGTGGCCTCACCCAACAGTTGCAATCGGCTACCACAACGCTGGTCTCCAACCTCCAAGGTCTACCAGCCGGCCTTCAAGAGAAAGTGGGCCTTATCCGCCAGAACGTCGACGAGCTCCGTACCGCCTTCATGACCGCTGGATCTTTCCAGGATCTGCCGGGATCCATCCTAGCTCAGAGTCGGGAAAAAGTTGCCAAGGCCCGTCAGTTGACGGATGAGCTGATGGATCATGTGGTACAAAATGCCCCTCTTACTTGGCTTGTAGGCCCCTTCTCGGCCTCGGGCAAACCAGAGGGTGAAGAAATAGAAATGAAATAACAATATTCTGACTTGCTTTCATCCTTGAAATGCTAAGTGTAAGGCGGGGTTTTTTTTGGAGCAAAGGGAAGAATTAAGCTTGGCTGCAAATAGTTGAAATAAATATAGAACTCTTGATGTAAAAGAATGCTGAACCATGGAAAGTCGAAGGATTTTTTGATGGTCCGGGTGCTTTTGTTTTTCTAACATGATCCAGTGAAATTTTGGGCCGACGGGCTTATTTCGCCCAATTTAACACGCCTGATTTCATACTGTAAATTGGCAATTGAAGAGGCGTTTATCTCACTAACTCATCTAAAAGCAAGTGGTTTTTTTTTTATAACGTTGCAGGATTAGGAGAATAGAATCCATTTTAAATGGATGTGGCCCAAATTAAGAAACGGTTATCTATATTTTTCATTTGTACCCAACTTCTTTTCAATTGCTGGCAGATTATTCTTGAAAGAGAAATCTCAGAGACAAAGAATTATTCAGTTTGATGCAAAATGCAGAACAACGGGGAAGATTAACCAATTATACGCAACCTTTTTCTTCTGAATTTTCTCTTCCCCGTGATAATTCTCTGGCTTAATTGATTTTTTTTGCAAATAGTGACAGAACTGAGAAAGCTGAAGTTGCCAGAAATGTAAGTGGGATGAAAGGTTGGAGACGAAGATTAGGAAATTATCTGGGTTTTTTTTTTATTATTCTTGCATTCTGGTCCTTTTTATTCAGCCTTTCTTGGTGCCTGTAGGAGTTGGGAGGAGGGAAAATGAGGTTAAACATCTTTGCAAAGTTTCTTCTGTATTTGCAAGTCAAGTTATCTAGGGCAGCGTAGCATCCTTTGGTTAAAGTTCTTCCCATCATTTACACCACGAGTCTCCAAAGTTGGCAACTTTTCAGGCTTGTGGACTTCAACTCCCAGAATTCCCCAGCCAGCCATACATTCATAGCCGGCTGGGGAATTCTGGGAGTTGAAGTCCACAAGTCTTAAAAGGGTTGCCAACTTTAGAGAGCCCTGGTTTACAGGGTGGAATCAACTCTTAACCAATACAGATGATCAGACTTGTTCCATTTTCAGCTCCTTGCTTGTAAATGACCTTTCAGAGTTTTCCACGCGCTCTTTGTATGTTGTGTAAATCAATTTTCCCTCCAGGCTTCCTATTGTCGATTTATAACCCATGCCTTAACTCACAAAATAAAACTAATACCATATTGCATTAAAAAGCTGGAATCTTTTTTTTATATATATATATATATATATATTTTCCAAGTCATGTGACCATTTTATGCAAGCTCCTTTTAGGATATTCACATCCACAGATATTATAACATGGCCCAGAACTTAATGAGGCTTAACAGATAACAGATAATCAGAGTTGGAAGGGACCTTAGAGGTCATCTGGTCCAACCTCCCGGGAGACCCTACATCATTTCTGACAAATGGCAGTCCAGTCTCTTCTTGAAAGTCTCAAGTGATGATGCTCCCACAACTTTCTGAGGGCAACTTCTGTTCCATTGGTTGATTGTTTACTAGCTATTGTAGCTTTTAACCCCTTCCTCAGACACCTTCCATGTTACCATCACTATTTTGTAGCAGGGAGTCCCGCCGTAATAGGCGGCGGCCAGATTTCCTAAAACTCTCCTTTTTTATTGATCTTTTTTTCCCCTACAATCAATTTACAAATAATGGCATTGCCACCCAAGTGAAAGATTTTCCGATCAGCAACTTTATCTTGTTCTAGTTATCTGTCCGTGGCAGCAAAAAAACATAAGATTATCCGGTTGCAAAGGATGGATAGACATTAAATTTGCCATCTAAGTGGAAGTCAAGTTAAATGTAGCAGAAATTTTCACCTGGTTTCTCCTGATGGAGAGGTTTAACAGCGCCGTCAAAAATTAATGTGGCTTTTTCTTTAAAAATTCAATATTTTTTGTCTCCGGGAAAACAAACGAACAACGAAAGGCTAAAAATGGAGGGTTTGGCTCTCCCTAAAGAGGATACAGTCCTTAGCTTACGACCACAACTGAGCTCAAAATTCATGCAAATACCCACAATCTGCTCAGTTTTAAATTTGGGAGATGCCCGGAAAGGAACTAAGGATGCAAGAAAAAAAAGTACACCAGTCATCAGCCGTGGGCATAACACCATTTTATGTGAACCTTGCACATGCTGTGATGCTTTTTTAAAAAAAAAAATTATGAAAAGTTTTTAAAAGAATATAAAAGCAAAGCAAGCAAGCAAGAAACAGGGAAGGGAAGGAAAGAAAAATGAAGAAAGGGAGGAAATACAAGAAAAAGGCAGGAAGGGGGGAAATTAGAAGGAAGGAAGAAAATACAAGAAAAAGGAAGGAAGAAGGACAAGAATAAGGAAGGGAATAGGAAGGAAGGAAATGCAAGACGAAGGAAGGACAAAAAAAGGAAGGAAGGAAGGAAGAAAGGAGAAGGAAGGAAAGGAAGGAAGGAAGGAAGGAAGGAGAAGGAAGGAGAAGGAAGGAAGGGAAGGAAGGAAGGAAGGAAGGAAGGAAGGAGAAGGAAGGAAGGAAGGGAAGGGAAGGAAGGAGAAGGAAGGAAGGAAGGGAAGGGAAGGAAGGAAGGAAGGGAAGGAAGGAAGGGAAGGAAAGGAAGGAAGGAAGGAAGGAGCAAAAGGGCCAAAATAAAGAATAAAAGGAAACTGAACATGGGTTCAATTCCCTTTGCAGCAAACATAAATACAATTACAAAATTATCGCTTGACCTGTAAATTACAAGCATAGCCTGCTATTTTTCCGAATGGCCTCCCTCCCCGTCTCTTTCACAGCTCAGCCAAACTCCCACTAGTTGGCCAGGTGGCGGGGATTCCAAGTCCCATCCTTCCCCTCCCCCCCTCCAGCTGTGGATACTGGGTGTTGTAGTGGCTGCCAGAGGGCGGGGGGGGGGCGAGAAAAGCTGACCCCGTCGCCTGATCTGTGACATCATACCCTGCATCACAAGGGCCGCTTAGAATGATGGGAAAATCTTTAGCCTTGGCCCGCCGCCCTAAGGATGGTGGCTTGCCTGGGTGGGGAAACCAAGATGCCCTGAATTTCGGCCAGGATTATGGCAGGATGTGAGTGGGGGAGCCGAGCGGTCAGCTGTAGCAGGGAGGGTCCAGAAATGGACTTTCCTTGGGAATTTTGGAGGCCTCCCGGCTTATTAAACCCCCAATGCCCCTTGTAAAGTCTTCTAAGAGGCCGGAGAAGGAATGAAATACCCCAGTTCTATGCATCCTTCGGCCATCTGGCTTTTGCGTCAGTCTGGGTGACTACATAGACCATCCCTGCTGCCTTTTGGCCAGGAATATCATTTGCACTGAGCAATGGAAGAGAATATTTGCAGCTTGGGGCTGAAGAGTGGGGCGCTCTCTAAGCCTGGTGGCTTTCTTGCAGAGCTTTCATGACCCAGCTAGGGAACATCATCAGTGTTACAAGAGGGTGGGGTTGGAGGAGGAGGAGGAGGAGGAGGAGGAGGATCCTTAATGCTCTCCGAGCTTGGTAGTTTTCTTGCAGACCTTTCATGACCCAGCTAGGGAACATCATCAGGGTTACAAGAGGGTGGGGTTGGAGGAGGAGGAGGAGGAAGAAGAGGATCCTTAATGCTCTCTGAGCTTGGTAGTTTTCTTGCAGATCTTTCATGACCCAGCTAGGGAACATCATCAGGGTTACAAGAGGGTGGGGTTGGAGGAGGAGGAGGAGGAGGAGGAGGAGGAGGAGGAGGAGGAGGAGGAGGAGGAAGAAGAAGAAGAAGATCCTTAATGCTCTCTGAGCTTGGTAGTTTTCTTGCAGACCTTTCATGACCCAGCTAGGGAACATCATCAGTGTTATAAGAGATTGGGGTTGGAGGAGGAGGAGGAGGAGGAGGAGGAGGAGGAGGAGGAGGAGGAGGAGAAGGAGGAGGATCCTTAATGCTCTCTGAGCTTGGTAGTTTTCTTGCAGACCTTTCATGACCCAGCTAGGGAACATCATCACTGCTAGAAGGAAGGGAGATTGCAAGGAGGAGGAGGTTGTGGAGTCCTTGGTGCTCTCTGAGCTTGGGGGTTTTCTTGCAGACATTTCATGACCCAACTAGGTAACATCATCAGGACTAGAAGAGGGTGTGATGGTGAAAGAACCAGAAAGGTTGAAAGGGGAGGACTGAAATTAAGGAATGGAGGAATTGTCAATTTTGTCCTAAAAGTCTGGAATGAGAAGGTGAACCAGTTGAAAGAAAGCTGGGATCGATAAATGTTTGTCGTCAATTCAACAGATTATTTTATTTATTTATTTAGTTTGGAGCTCAGAAGAATATAAGATGATTGCCAGTTCCTCAGATCCTAAGTCACAAACTATGTATCTGCGGGAAGAGAAAATGGTATTCTCTCTCTTTTTTTAACCTTTGGACTGAATAATTGGAGGGAAAGGGTACTTATTTATATGTGTTTGTTTGTTTATTGCTTATTATTAAATTATATGCCCCCCCATCTCACTACCCAAACCATTAAAGAAAGATTATTCAGTACGAGAATGGATTGGTGGCCAGGAATAATAAAAAAGGAAGTCCTCAATTTACGACCGCAATTCAACCCAAAATTTCTGCTGCTAAGCGAGCGTTGTTAAAATGGAGTTTTGCCCCCATTTTGTGACCTTTCTTGCCACAGTTGTTAAGTGAATCAGTGCAGTTGTTAAGCTAATAACCAGGTTGTTAAGCAAATCAGGGTTCCCCGTGAACTTTGCTTGTCAGAAGTTTGCAAGAGGGGATCATGTGATCCTGAGACACCGCAATGATCATAAGCGTGACACAAAAATAACAAAGTCACAAAAGTCGAATAAATTCCCTTTAATGCCTCCAATTTGGCCCCCAATGTACAATTATCCTCGGCTGGATATCAAACTCTTCCAAAAACAGTCTACGAAGTGAGTAATGCAGTCCGAACCCAAAGTAAAGATAATTAGAAATTTAAAAACAACAACAACACAAACTACACTGAAGTAATTAAGTCGGCAGGCCAGGATGATAAATTGCAGACTTCCACAAGATAACACAGAAACCACAATTGGGAGGACGCCCAAACCCAGATAAGCCTCGGCAAAGATAATGCACGCTTTGCTTCCGGCAAGGAAGCTGTGTGCAAACGCCCCACTTATATCCTGCTCTGCCAGCTGCAACTAATGAAAGGGATCAGGGCCTTTTCCTCCCCTGTAACCCACGTTGCTCCCTTCTCCATTCTTCCTGGCGTGCCCTAGGATGAAGAGGGGATGGCGCTGGGTCTTCCTCTGAATGCCCAGCCAGACTGTGCCCTTCCTCCGTTTCTTCCACACTCCCACTCCCTGTCATCTGCTCCCTCTCCGCCTCAGAATCAGACTCCAACAAGAGCGTGACCATAAGTATGAGTCAGTTGCCACTGAATTTGGATCACACGACTATGGGGGGATGCCACAAGAGCCGTGTGAAAAACTAGCCTGTGAACTTTTTTCAGTGCTGCTGTAAACTTAAAATGGTCACTCAATGAACGGCTATAAGTCAAGGACTACCTGTGAAGTAGAATTAGGTCGTGTTTTACACCTGATCCACCTGGAAAGGCCGGTACTTACCTTATTCCAATGTTTTATGGCTGATCCACCTGGAAAGGCTGGTACTTACCTTATTCCAATGTTTTATGACTGATCCACCTGGAAAGGCTGGTACTTACCTTATTCTAATTTTTTATGACTGATCCACCTGGAAAGGCTGGTACTTACCTTATTCTAATTTTTTATAACTGATCCATCTGGAAAGGCTGGTACTTACCTTATTCCAATGTTTTACGCCTGATCCACCTGGAAAGGCTGGTACTTACCTTATTCCCATGTTTTATGTCTGATCCACCTAGAAAGGCTGGTAACTTACCTTATTCCAATGTTTTA